ATATATTTTTAAGCAATCCTGTCTTTATTTATTTTGAGCTATAATATGAATTTGATACTCTTAAGTACATATTCTTTAACGCTTTTTGCTCTAGTCTAATAAAAACTCACCAAGCAAGAACTGCCCAATGTGATCTGCTAAAACAACTATTAGTCTACTCAGGAATTCCAAACTTCCTCGAAATTTTAGTATGACGAGATACTCCCCAAGATCACAAACATGTTGTTGTATACCATGTCAGAATCCTTTTCTCTTTTATAAACTTTTCCCATCTAAATCTGGCAAAAAGTTTGACTCTTATTTCTGCACAAGATGAAAAACCAAAAACCATATTTACAAAAGAATAAAACAAATTCAGAGAAAGAAAACAAAAGGGAAGAAAAAACAAAAACAAAAAGAAAGGAAAAAAAGAAAACTCTAAATGCTATTTAATTATAAAGAGAAGAAGATGAAAAAAGCAACAAAAAAAAAAAAAATCCTAATATACACTATTATAACCTGTGCTAGGTAAAAAATAAAAATTATATACCAGATACAACATCTGTATATCTTAATTGTAAGACTAAGCCTTAACATATAATTTCTTTTTGGTCTATTATTCAGCTGTGGCTGTAAACCTAAACCACATCTCACATTAGACGTATGCCATCAATATCTCTGGCCCAGGCTTAGGAATTTCTTTTAACCGGGACCCATTCCAGTGCTCGAATGTCATATCCATTTCTGTATACATGTTGCTATCTACTGGTCTGACTGAATTTGGAAAGTAAACAATGCTGATCTTTTGTAAGCCAAATCCCCACTTTTTATGAAAAAATTTTGGAAAGACCAACAAGGAAGTGAGAAAGGATGGAAAGATTATTAATATATATTAAAATTATTGTAAATATTATTTTTATATATAAATACAAGTATACATACTTTTAATCTATTTCATTGTTTAGAATGATACCATCTCATTGTTGAAAAAAGGCATTCTAATAATGCTGTTGATACTGTAATTGAAAAAATATGCTATACAACTCCTTAGAATATCCTTTTGTAAAATTCCAATAATCTAATATATTGGTTTTAAATTGCTTGACAATTGATTCAGTATAAGGATATTTTTTCATACAATAATCTTCAAGCTTAGCTAATAAAACTTCTAGTTTTTCATGAAACTATGCGCAATAATAATATACAACTCACTTTGCTAAGTGTGGAAATGATAAATTGGACATAGTATTAAATTTTGAATCATGATAATTAGGATGAAATAAAAATGCTAGTAATAATAGTGGCTGCTCCCAATCTTTCTATCGTTTCTCAAGCTTTGCAAGAAGTTTTGTAGCCAAATTATAATCTTCTAATCTTTTAAGTATCATAATTATATTTTCAAATTCATGAAGTACTTCATGTAATTGTGTATTATGTCATTGAATTTTATTGAGTGCTGCACAATAAGAAATTAATAGAGTTTCAATTTCTTTAATTTTTATCCACCAATTATTATCAATAATACACTTTAAATATTCATTAGGAAAGTTATAGCTATTTTCGATTATATATTCTTCAATTTTAGTTGCAAGATTCTATAAATATTATAAATATTTATATATTAATTTAATATATATATGCTATTTAGTTAAATTATTGTCACATACAGAGGTGTGGCGACTTAGTGTAGTGGTCTAGTCATCACCCTCTCCAAGTGGCAGGTCTAGAGTTCAAATCCCATGAACGATGAATTTTGAAAAATAGCCTGTGTTAC